TGCCATGTCTCTGGGCCTCTCCTTCTCGGTATACTTTGCTGAATATTCTCATCTCCCCAACTAAGTAACATGGAAGCAGCCCAGGGCACCCTGGGACCTCCCCTCTGCCTGCACTCACGCCATCAGTGACCAATGGGACTATGCTCAGGGCTGTAAATGCCACTGAGAAGCTAATGCCGGCCACGATTTCTCCAGTCCAGACGCTCCTGGGACTTGGGATCCACATGCCCACGGCCTCCTTGATGGAGTCGTTTAGATGTGTACTAGAGATCTCAAATATAACATGTCCAATCCTATCTGCTTATCTTCTTCCCGGAGCTTGCTTTTATGCTAGACTTCCCAACCTAGTTAAAGATAATTCTATTTTTCCAGTTCCTGTGGCAGAATACTATGGAGCTATGCTGAGTCCCTTTTGTCCTCGATAACATCCAATTCATCAGCACATCCTGTTAATCCTGCCATCAAAATATAACAAAAATCCAACCACTCCACTCCATTTTTTCCCCATTACCAGCTTGGTCTAAGCCACCAGCCTATTCACAGTTCACCCTGCTTCTCCTCTCCACCACCCACCTCTTGCTCTTCATTCTTTCCTCAATACAACAGCTGAAACGATCTTTTTAAAAGTGTAAGTCAGATATTGCAACTCTTCTCCTCCCAGTTACTCCCAGGAAAAGGCTCTCCATGACCTCCAACCCCTCCACTCTCGTTCCCAGTGGCTTCCTTGGTGCTCTTCCCATTTAAGAGCTTCTGCCTGGAATGCTTCCTCCACACACAGCCCTATGGCTCTCCTTCCCTCCCTTAGATTTCCCCTGTTTAAAATTGCAACCTCCTCCCCATGACAGGCTTTATCATTCTTGGTCACTTAGCACCTTCTAATGTTCAGTATCAACTTACCCACCTATTAGTATCTATCTACCTACCTACCTACCTACCTACCTACCTATATATAGCCTTTCACTAAAACAGATGCCTGAGGCGAAAAACAAGTTTGGCTGTTTTGTTTGCTTTATCTGGAACAGTGTAGGAACTCAATAAATAACCTCTGACTTAAATGAATGAATGAGGCATTCTGCTGCCGTTTTCACTGAGACTTTGAAAAACATTATTAGCAAAGCCTTAAAATAACTAGATAACAAAATGAATGCTGAAAGAGGAGAAATGATGTGTTATAACCACATTGTTAATTAGTAGCAGAATTTAGCAAGAACTGGTTTCTGACAGCGAGTTTATGGCCATAGTCATTGAAACTACCTTTGTTTGACTTACCTACTTTGACTCTCCCCTATTTATTTTACGCTTAAGGAAAGAATGCATACATGAACACTTCTTTATGAGAAAACTGGGGAAGAAATAAATGCATGGGAAGGGGACTAATATGTTTGTGTATTTAAAAAATACAGATATATTATTTGTATATCACCTTCAAGGATTAAGTAAAAAGACCTGATATGTAGTAATCCACTTAATTAATAACCAGGTCACAAAGAGAGCTTTTTGTGACCATTATACTATGATCTCCCTTCCCCATCCTCCCCCAAGGAGAGTGTTTTAGAAAGTGTTTGAGAAATAAGTGAAAGTATGACAAAACTCATATAGTGTTATTTCAGTCTACTTTGTTTTAAATGCTTCAATTCAAGTATTCAGGAAATGTTTTGAAGAAGTCATCAAAAGAAAATAGGGGAAAGGAAGAGAGCTGGGGAGGGATGGACATGGACAAAGGGAGGGAGAGATGGAAAAAAGGGAGGGAGGGAAGAAGGGAGGGAAGAAGGGAGGGAAGAAAGGAGGGAGGAAATGAGGGAGGAAGGGAGACAGGGAGGGAGGGAAGAAGGGTGAGAAGGAGGGAGGGAGGATGAGAGGGCTAGAAGGAGTGACAGGAACTATTATGGACTGTCACATTTAAGTAACTCATTGCATGCATTTCATTTATTAACTCTTTCAAATCACATCATACTTTCTCAAAGGAATAAAAAAGAAAAATGATCACTACACTAAGAGATTTATTTTCTTGTCTATTGACTCGGCCACTGCGTGATCACCTGTAGTCTGTCCACACCATGGTCGTTTTCCAGGGAGTACAAACACCTCTTGTAATGTGCCATGGCTTTGGTTTCCATTGGCGATGTTCTGGTACACAACAACAAACCAGACTAACTTTACAACTCTTTCTAAAGTGACACTTCTGATTACAAATGATTAAACCCAAATAATAAGGGCTAACATTTCAAAGGCATGGAAGAAATGCAAAACAACTAAAGCACTGATATCTTCAAATTGAGGAGAGAAAAGCCTTTTTGAACCCTCCGGTAAGTCTATTTGAAAAGTTTATATGACACGGGGCTCCAAGCAGATAGCGTGACTAGGCAAAAGGAGTCTGGTTCTTGCTGCCTTTTACAAACTGCCATGCCGACCTTTCCCCTTATTCATGGCTATTTGGTAACATTTTTATGCGGGAGTATTGGCTTTGCGGTTCCTTCCATTTTCTTTTTATCACAAGTCCAGGCAGTAAGCAGAGAATACTGCAGGCAGCATAGACGCGTACTTTGACAGAACTCAGGCAATCAGTGCATGCACACGTCTACCTGGTTCTAAACGACTGCTGGGACCCTCCAACAGCCATTCAGAAAATAAACTGTTCTCCAAAAGGACTCGAGAAGAAGCTATCCAAAAATACTTATTTTATAAAATGAAATAAATTTATTTAATGTCAAACCATATTTTTGAGATATCTTTAAAAGGAATTTTATGTGAGCACATATAATTTTTTTATTATTTTAAGGAAACAAGCACATGCGTTAATTTTGGGAAAGAGGTTGTGTTTTATAGAGCAAAGTCCCTCTTTTACTTATGAAAAACAGACTTGAAAATGATGAGTCACAATTGCCAAGAGAGTTCTCTATCTTTAAAATATTCCAACTATCCTCTTTCCCATTAGGTTATTCTTAGTTTCTTAGGCTAGGACAAAGAACAAACTGTCCCAACCCACAGACCGTCCAAATGGGGGCTGGATGCCTATGAACTCTGATCCTAGGCCTGGAAAGACTGTCACGGTATCGAAGATTACTGTGCTGACGTATCCAAAGAGGGAAATGTCATAAACTTGTGGCAGAACGAAGAAAGAACAGAACTTTCTAACAGGAAATGTCTTTCCCATAGAGAAATCAATAAAAACATTTACAGAACTTTCTCATCACAAAACTATGTCTTTAGTGTCTTTGAAAAAATATAAACATCTTTTAAAAATACACAAATTTTTTTTTAAATTTAGTAGCATATATTTACACACACTTACACACATTCTCACACACACACATTGGTTTTAGCTGCACAGAGTTCATTGTTTTTCCAAAACTTCGTTTTTCTTTTAGTTTTTTTGGTGAGATCAAGATGTAGATAAGAAGGTGATTTTAAATTGGCTCACCCCTCCGGAGAGAGGGTAATGTATAAAATAGGCTTACGCTTCACCCACTTAACCAGAATTTCTAGAACAATTAAGTAGTAATAGTTTTACTTGTTCTTTTTCTTTCTTTTTTAATGTATCAAAATTGGCCACAATTGAATGGAAGTAGCTGGGGTTTACTGAGGTGAGAAAAACAGTAGGATAAAATCGGAGTGAAAGATTCAGTAATTTGGTTTTGAATTTGAATCTTAAGCATTAAATCACAACTATAAAGTTAACTAGAGGCCCGGTGCATGAAATTCATGCACTTGGGGGAGGGGGCATCCCAGCCCGGCCTGCGCCCTCTCACAGGAAGTGGGCCTAACCTGTCAGTCGGACATCCTTAGTGCGGCCGCAGAGGTGAGAGAAACTCCTGCCACTGTTGCTGCGCTCGCCAGCCATGAGCCCAGCTTCTGGCTGAGCGGCACTCCCCCTGTGGGAGCACAATGACCACCAGGGGGCAGCTCCTGTGCTGAGGATCTGCCCCCTGGTGGTCAGTGCACATCATAGTGACCAGTCGTTCCACTGTTGGCTGAAACTGGCTCTCCGACATCCCCTGAGGGGCTCCGGATTGCAAGAGGGCTCAGGCCAGGCCGAAGGTCCCCACCAGTGCACGATCGAGCTGGGGAGAGATGCAGGAGGTTGGCCAGTCTGGGAGGGATTATGGGAGGGCTCCAGGGTGGGTTTGGCCCATCTTGCCCAGTCCCGATCAGCTGGACCCCAGTAGCAAGCTAACCTATCGGTCAGAGCATCTGCCCCCTGGTGGTCAGTGCACATCATAGTGTCTGGTTGACCTGTCTACTGTCTTCCCCCTGGTGGTCAGTGCACATCATAGCGAGCAGTTGAGCAGCCTTAACATATCATTAGCATGTTACGCTTTGATTGGTTGAATGGCCAACCAGCCAACCGGGCACTTAGCATATTAGGCGTTTATTATATAGGTGGACCCCTTGAAGGATGTCCACCTGGTGGCTTAGGCCCGCTCCCTGGGGGATCGGGCCCAAGCTGGCAATCAGACATCCCTCTGGCAGCCCGGCAGCCCTACGGGGATGTCCGCTTACCAGCAGAAAGCAGACCTAAGCTGCAGTCGGACAGCCTTAGTGCTGCTGAGGAGGTGGGAGAGGCTCCTACCACCACCGCTGTGCTGGCAGCCATCAGCCTGGCTTGTGGCTGAGCAGAGTTTTCCCTGTGGGAGCGCACTGACCACCAGGGGACAGCTCCTGCATTGAGCGTCTGCCCCCTGGTGGTCAGTGTGTGTCACAGTGACCAGTCATTCCCAGTCTTTCTGCTGTTAGGGTCAATTTGCATATTACCCTTTTACTATATAGGATAGAGGCCTGGTGCATGGGTTGGGGCTGGCTGGTTTTCCCTGAAGGGTTTCCCGGATCAGGGTGGGGGTCCCCACTGGGGTGCCTGGCCAGCCTGGGTGAGGTGCTGATGGGTGTTTTCAGGCTGGCCACAGTCCCTTCAGGGTGGGGGTCCCCGCTGGGGTGCCTGGCCAGCCTGGGTGAGGGGTGTATGGCTGTTTGCAGCTGGTCACACCCCCTTCAGGGTGGGGGTCCTCACTGGGGTGCCTGGCAAGCCTGGATGAGGAGCTGATGGCTGTTTGCAGGCTGGTCAAGCCCTCCACCCCTCCAGGGGGGGCCTCACCCTATGGAGGTTTGGCCAGCCTAGGTGAAAAGAACCCAGAATGGAGCCCCAAGAGAGGCCATATTGAGAGAATGAAAAAGATCCTTCACACACACCCTTTATATACTAAACTACAGGCCCAGTGCACGAATTTGTGCATGGGTGGGGTCTCTCAGCCTGGCAGGCGATTGGGGCCTATCAGGTAGGGGGCCAGCCGGCAGAGGGGGGGCTGTGGGAGGTTGGCCAGCTGGCCCCCCATTGGGGCCATCAGGGGGGCTGGCCAGCCGAGGGGAGGGGCCATGGGGGGTTGGCGGCCATCACCCCTCCAATTGGGGACAATCAGGGGGAGGTTATGGCCAGGGGAAGGGTCCACGGGAGGTTGGCTGTGGGAGTGCACTGACCATTAGGGGGCAGCTCCTGAATTGAGCGTCTGCCCCCTGGTGGTCAGTGCGTGTCATAGCAACTGGTCGGCTGGTCATTCCAGTCATTTGGTCATAATAGTCACTTAGGAATATATATATATTTATGGCTATCCTTCACACACACACACACACCCTTTATATACTAAATATCCTTCACACACACACCCTTTATATACTAAACTAGAGGCCCAGTGCACAGATTCGTGCACCGGTGGGGTCCCTTGGCCTGGCCTGTGGGGATCTGGCTGAAACTGGCTCTCTGACATCCCCTAAGTGGTCCCCGATTACAAGAGGATGGTTCTCGGGTGACACACCCTGGAATCAGGCTCCCTCCTCTCTGGTTCCAGGTGCGTCACCCAAAAACAACAGCTGCTAAATCACCACAGCTCAGCAGCTCCTGTGTTGAGCATCTTTCCCCTTGTGGTCAGTGCATGTCATAGGTATTGGTTGGAATGTCTTCCCCCTGGTGGTCATTGTGCATCATAGCTACTGTCGGCAGGTCGAACCATCAGATGGTCACTTAGGCTTTTATATATATAGATATCCTTCATACACACATACACATACACACACAGACCCTTTATATACTAAGTACCCTTCATATACACACACCCTTTATATATTACATATCCTTTACACACATGCACCAGAGTAAAGAAATTCATTCCTCCTTTCAGTTTTCCAAGAATTTTTATCTATCAAATATAGATCATGAAAAATAATTTTATAATGCTTATAAAACATACTTTAAAGAGTAAACGGACCAGAAATATATATAAGGTATAGCAAAATAAAAATTATGTTAGAATTATCTTTAGTTTTTAAATTATCTACATTGCTATTCCCAGTATTAAAAAGGATAATCCAAAGTTGGTCACAGTGTTTTTTCTTTTTGTTTATTTAAATCTGGTTTTCACAGAAACCATTCAAATTTAAATTTATGAAAGACTAAAGTTAAAATATAAATTTCATGAAATCTGAATCCAGAGACCAAATTTGAAACTGCTATTGGCAAAATGGTTATATTAAGTTAGTATTCCTGTGCATCCTATCTACTAATAGAGAAACATGGCAATTAACCGTAACTTCGCTACCCTTCCCATTGGCTAATCAGCGAGATATGCAAAGTAACTGCCAACCAAGATGGCAGCTGGCAGCCAGGCAGCTGAAGCGAACAGGAGGCTCGCTTCCTCCAGTGAAGGAGGAAGCCAAGGTTCCCCGCCTGCCACCTCCCAGCTCTGAGCTGCACTCTAAGAAACAATGTTGCAAATATAGAAGCTACACAAACCCCAGAAACCTGCTTTCAGCCAGCCAGTCCTCAGAGCTGGAGTTGAAACAGTGTTACAATTATAGAACCCAAACAAACCCAGATACCTGCTTTCAGCAGCCGAGGTCTCAGAGCTGGAGCCGAGCCTCAGAGCTAAAGCCGGCTCTCAGCTCCAGTGACAGCCATAGAAGGTAAATAAATCCCAGAATTAAAAAAAGAAAAGGAGAGGCTGGGAGCTTCAGTTGCCCACCAGCCTGAAAATGGCCCTCCACCCCTCATCCAGGCTGGCCAGGCACCCCAGTGGGGACCCCCACCCTGAAGGGGGTGTGACCAGCTGGAAACAGCCATCATCCCCTCACCCAGACTGGCCAGGCACCCAAGCAGGACCCCCACCCTGATCCGGATCACCCTTCAGGGTAAACCAGCGGGCCTCCACTTGTGCACCAGGCCTCTATTCTATATAGTAAAAGGGTAATATGCAAACTGACCCTAACAGCAGCAGGACTGGCCGCTGGCAAGTGGACATCCCCCGATGGCTGCCGGGCTGCCAGAGGGATGTCTGATTGCCATCTGAGGCCCAATCCCCTGGAGAGTGGGCCTAAGCCAGCAGATGGTCATCCCCTGAAGGGTCCCAGACTGCGAGAGGGCACAGGCCGGGCTGAGGGATTCCCCACACCCCCCCACCCCTGAGTGCACAAATTTTTGTGCACCGGGCCTCTAGTATATATATGTATATGAATAGCAAATATAAGGACAAGGAGCAGGAAAACTATGGTGATGATAGAGATGATGATATCGCAAATATGCTTATAATGTGGCATATTGGTCAAAATCAACCAGGGCTTTTCTACCTCAACACCACTGACATTTTGGGCCAGATAATTCTGTTGGGGGTTGGGGAGAACGGGGTCCTGTTCATTTTAAGATACTGTTAAACCTCCCTGGATCTAACTATTAGATGCCAGTAGCATCTACCCAACTGTGATCAAAGTACATCTTCAGACAATACCACATGTCCCTGGGGGGAGGGGGATAAAATCACCCCTGACCAAGAACAACTGATCTAAGTGCTCCCTGTGCCTTATCTCATTGAATCTTCACAATCACTCGTAGAGGTAGAAACCATTATTTCTCCCCATTTTTCAGATATCAAAGTACAGAGGATTATTAAATTGTTGAAGGACACACAGTCAGTAAGTGATGTGTCAGTGTGCACAGTCAAGTATGTGCGGCTCCAGAGTCTTCAACCCACCACCATGAAGCGTTGGAATACGTGTAGAAATACACACACTGGAGGACAGACCTGCCTGTTTTTCAAAATTACTTGGAGGATAAAAAAAACGAGGTGAAAATCTTTGCAATCTACCAAGCATGATGCACGTATAAAGGACTATTATTTATATTTAATATTTAGTGCCAGTAAAACCAATAAGAAACACTATTTTACCAGCAGTGCTTTGAACTTGCAGAACGCACTGTGCAGTTTTTATGCGCTCCTCCCCCCCACCCCCATCCCGGGGAACTTACGGTCCACGGGCAGCTGTTTGTGCCTCTGGCTATCTCGCATAAAACTGCCACCACTGTCACTGGAGCTGCTGTTCTGACGGGTGACGTTTGTAGGGGCCTTTGACACGGGAACAGGTGCTGGAGTGGTCGGTGGGAGGGGGACAGGGACAGGAGCTGGCGTTGGAGGAGGCGATGGAGCAGAGGGAGGGTCAGTGGGCTTTGGACCATACTCCATCCTTTGCTTCTGTAAAAAGACAAATAATTAATTTGAAGTTGTAAAAACATACACCTAGCCTAGGAAAACAAAGTGTACTTTGACAGGACATTTTTGGTAATTTACTTGTAAACTTAATTGCAAATTTATATATGTATGTGTACATACACAGACATATACACACATCCCAGTCCTGTATAGTATAATAATCATTAAAAAAATGAATACTCTATGTACTTGTTCAAATCAAAATGTAAATTAAGGAGTCAAAAGAATATACCAATAGGAAATAGAAGTATTAATAATAATAACAAATGTTAAGAAAACGAAATTTGAACTTGGAATCATACACAACCAGAGTAGGTCAAAGGATTTCTGATTATTTCATAATTTTCATTAATAAAAACTTCTCATTGCACTGGAAGTCTAAATATCAATAACATAGAGCATTACCTATTCTTTACTTTAAATGTATATTATATTAAAAATGTTTAATTTTGTTTCTAAGTAATATGTTAAGAAGAGGGCAATATTTCAGGAGCTAAAAAACTTTGTTGTAAAGTAAGCAAGCAATTTTTAAATGTTAATTTATTCAAGTCATAACTCTGTGCCATCATCTTAATGCTAACTTCTTACAATTAGATATTTTCAGTGTTAAAATGGGAACGTTGTGGATGGATAGTGCTGAGGGTAATAGTACGTCTAACTATATGGTGATGACTGAAACTCAAAAACATATATTAGAACAAAGGCCATGTGGGGATTTGTATTCAAAAAGGTGCATGGCCCTAACTGGTTTGGCTCAGTGGATAGAGCGTCAGCTTGAGGACTGAAAGGTCCCAGGTTCGATTCCAGTCAAGGGCATGTACCTTGGTTGCAGGAACATCCCCAGTAGGAGGTGTGCAGGAGGCAGCTGATCGATGTTTCTCTCTCATCGATGTTTCTAACTCTCTATCCCTCCCCCTTCCTGCCTGTAAAAAATCAATAAAATATATATTTTTTAAAAGTGGATGAGATAGAATACACAATTAACTTTCAAAAACTTTCAAATCATTATAGACTATGATAAAACAGTATTCATATATATTCCTTCTTAAACCACACACAATAGCTAAAACTTTAAATAAAATAAATTTAACTAATAGAAAACTGCATTAAAACCAGTTCCAAATTCGCAAAAGGCACTTATTTTGTTGTAGAGTCAAATATTCAGAGCAATGGACGTGTAATTTGCATAAAGTTTAGATACTGCACTCAAACAATTTTAGTTATTCTAAATCCAGGAGTAGCAGATAACATGCAAAATGCAGGCCTTTTGGTAATCTGGTCCTTTGGTTAGAAAAGTGCTATTTACTTTTAATTTCTAAATTGGCCCAAATATAAGGTAATGGTGATTTTTAGAGGCCTCCCCAATTTCCACAGAGATCAAAAACATAAAAATACACACCACACACAAATATCACTTTTAATTAAATCATTATTCAAAAAAGCAACACACCAACCACCATCATAGTCCGCTGCACAGCAAATGAGTAACACCTGTGGAAACCAGCGTGGGCAGGGCCTTGGCTCTTTCCTGCTGTCTCTTTAAAAGCTACGACTCACCAGCCAGTGGGTGGAGAAGGTGGGAAGGGTACAGAGCAAGGATGAAAGCAGAATGGAGAGGTGTTTATCATGCTGCGAGGTACTGGAAGGGGGAAGGAGCAAGGCTGCGATTCATGGAGCCGTGGAGTTAGATGGGAGAGAAGCAGAAATTGCTGACCCTTTCAGCATTCCAGGCCTAGAAACATTTCTAATATATTAAATAAAAGAGTTGATTTTATTGTGATAATTATTCCCCACAAAACAATGTTCCTATATTTGGGCCAATAAAATATTTAAAGCAAACCAAATACAGCAAACGTCACCAAAATGTAATACTTAGCACACACCAAAGTCATCTGATTAAAATATATGCAATGTTCCCTTGACGGGAATGTCCTTTGCACATAATAACATGAAGGGTTAGTGAATTCTCCAAATAGAATTTCAAAAATGTCAGAATTTAAATCGCTGTTTTTAAAGCTTAAACAAACAAACAAAAAAAAGTGCTATCAGCTCTGCATTCCATAATATGATTCATATTTTCGGCTTTCATAAAAACAAGAACAGCTAGTGTTCTGCTATCAAAATAATATTGTGGAAAACTGAGTACACTGTGTGTTACTGTCATAATCGAGCCTGGAGACAGGCTCCCAGCTCTCTGTGCCTCACTTGGTTCTCCTGTCACTGCTACATAATGCAGCTTCCTCAGTATAACCCCACAGAACCAGAGGCTTCCACAGTACACATATATGTATATTCGACTTACCATATATGTATATTCAAAGAAACCATATGAAAACTTTTCATAAATTATGCCATACATTTTTACTTGCATATTTTCCCCTTTTTTTAAAAAAATATGTTTTTACTGATTTCAGAGAAGAAAGGAGAGAGAAACATCAATGATGAGAGAGAATCATCAATTGGCTGCCTCCCTCCTGCACACCCCACACGGGGGATCAAGCCCACAAGCTGGGCATGTGCCCTGACAGGGAATCGAACCAGTGACCTCCTGGTTCATAGGTCAATGCTCAACCACTGAGCCACACCAGCCAGGCTATTTTCCCCTTTTCTTGATTCTTCCTGCCTCAAGCTTCCAACCCCTGAAATGAAAAGGGGGAAACGTGCCTTCCTCAAATCATGACACCCTCTTCTGAAATGGCAACCACGTCAGTTTTTCTTTGGAAACTGACTTGTTCTTGGTGTGGAGGAAACAGAATCACTATTGACCCTCAGGCTCACTTTTCTATGTTCCTTCCTATCTTCTCCACTCTGCTTTACCTACCATCCAATGCACCGATCTTCCATTATTTCTGTCTCTTGGCTATTTTTGGTCGGAGGTAGAGAACTTATGACTCCAATGTACCCTCAGCTTATGGAACGTTTGGAGAGCAGAACTGTACCCTGTGCTTTCTCCTCCTGAACCAAGGGTGCTAGAACTTCAAAACCAAAAAAGAAATCTTGTCTGCTTCCTCCCAGTTTGCCCAGGCATTTCTCAGTACTAGCACTGAAAGCCCACGTCCCTACAAATCCTTCAGTTCTCAGCAAACAGGGATGATTGGTCACCTTGGTGTTGACCTATTTTTACACCATATCTGTTGCTTCCCAACTCTTGCCTTTTATCTCCCACACACATACTTAAAGTTCTGTTTAAAACAAAATCTTTTTTCTTTCTCTGAAATAAGTCAGAATTACTAGACTCCATGGAAAATTTACTTTCCTATTGATAATTAAGTCAGAATGAGTCACTTTTCTTCAGCCACTAAAGCTCAGTAGGAATTCTCCAGGATTAAAGAAAGGTATTTGGAGATAAGCTCCTGATTCATGCAAGACACTGCTTCCCAGGGGAAACTATGCAAGCAAGCCCAACAAAGCCATTAAAACTGAACTATTCTTAAAAACTTAACCTACACATTTTTCTTCTAAATTTGGTCTCTTTGGAACTCTGTGGTGAAAACTAGGCACAGCTGGAACATTTGGAGGGTGTTAAGTCCAGAGATGGAATCCAAAAATTATATTAAAGAGAAGTGCCACGAGGGAACAAAAGCGGGTTACCTCTGAGAGCTCCCCAAGTAATTGCTATTAGAAAAGTAGAGCAAATCACATCACAGGAGAAAGTTAACATGGGAGACAGAACTAAAATAATATCAGTCACACTTCGCATCAAATATCAGAAAGTGTTAGCAAATTAGTTTGTGACAGTAAAATTACCTGCCCACAAATCAACCAGTGAAGGAGCTTATAAAAATATAATTAACTTCCACCACTCTGATCCAGCAATGGAAAACTAACTATATGAATCCACACGACAGTGCAAACAGTATAGAGCATTTCAGTAACTATTTGTGTATTAGAGTATTATGTTTTTAAATTTTAAGATATAGGTTCATCTTATTCTTGCACTTATAAAGAATACACACAGAGTACATTAAATATAAGACTAATTTTTCTGTAAAGCTGATTTTACAAAAGGAAATATATATCTATTTTTAGTGAGCTTGAGTTTTGAACTTGTAAGCAGTCTAAACAGGAAATTTTATAATTCTGTAAATGTGCATGTTGGGCAGTAATTTGTATACATATCTATACGCAGGCGTCGGCAAAGGTAGGTTTACAGTTGTACTACAAATAAATAATACAATAATTAATAAATAATAATAATACAAGAATAAACTGTATTTCATGCACTCACAACTGTAAACCTACTTTTGCCAACCCCTGTATAGATAGAATTTATTTGTGAAAATGTCAATACATGAGGCAAAATACAAAGTAACCATCCTTGACTAAAAGCCATGCCTCTAATTAACAGATGACTAGAGTGCTCTGAGCTTACTAGTAATTTAGAATGTTTTTAAATAACTGAATATTGTCAGTTGGTCTGCTGGAATGAATATGAAGGCATTTTACTAAAATGGTCACTCTGCCCTGCTGTATCTGAATGTCTGGACTGAGCATGAAAAAGAGCATTCAAAACATTCATAACATGAAATTAGAAGGGCTAGTGGTTCAGTAGTTACCAGTAGAAAATATTTCAACTTTCACTTGAGGGCTATTTTTACATGGAGATAGAAAATAAACTTATCTATCTAGACTGGATTGTGGAGATCATGAAACTTGACCTCTTCCATTTCACAGCTGAGCAAATTGGAGCACAGAAAATGAAACGCCTTCTTTAAGGTCACACAGCTAGTTAGGGGCAGAACTGGGACTAGAATCTCATCACCAAAACCTAGAGTGGGGCTTTCCCACAGGATCACAGTATCTCTTACTAAGAAACAGGAAGACAAGACAATTTCTATTAAATTCACAGGATGGTAATGACCAGACATTCATAATTATGTGTATCTTGATAAAGTCAGAACACCTATAATAATAATCATATAGAGCACATAATTAATAGTAAATGCAAGACCTCTTTAATGACACCTTTGAGTATATCAGAAATAATAGAGGGTAGATTGGTTTCTCCTCTTGGCATACAGCTTGAGAATCTGTACGGGCAAAAGGATAATTCTAGCAGATGAACAGTCACAGAGTTAGAGATCTGGGAATCAAATCAAAAGAAATATGGGAAACATTACGTAGCACGCAGATTCCAGGTGGGGACAAAGCACCCTGGGTGTCCTGTTGCACAGCTAAAATATTGCAAAGCCCTGCAATGCCCTACAACACAATTCCTATCAAAAGATATGTCATTTATCTTCATTTCTCCATCATCCCTCATAAGTACTTACTTCCTTTTCCCTATGGTTTCACTCAATCTGTTTTTATGGTCCATATCTTTCATAAATTCTTTTTACCTCCCTCCCTTTTATTTTCAAAACTTTACTCGAGCCATGGGGGAAACACATTAGGTGGGAACGGCTGTCTTTACAGAGCTGTTAAAAATCACTCCAAAGGTGAGGATATTAAATGGGCTGATTCTCAGGGACATTAGGTGGCAATTCAACACCTATTCACGACTGGTGCCAGGTACCAGCATCCCTGCCCTCAGAAGACAGTCTCTAACCCAGTGTGTGAACAACAGGCCAGGGCTGCCCTTGTGCCCTTCCCCCAGGAGCTGCCTTTATTTATAAGCACTTCTTCACAGGAAGGCAACATAGGGCACGAAAATAAGAGTCAGGACTGTGCATACTTCCCACATTGGGTGACTTGTAGATTATCTATGGAAATAGTTTACATCTAATTCCCTTATTCCCACCGTTTACAAGATGTCTACATTCTAAGTGAACTGTACAACTTGGATTATTTTTGTAAATTATAAAATAATTAAAGAATTTTAATCCAAAAAATGATGCATAAGGCAAAAATCCAATCCCAAAGTCGGGAAATGATCAGATTAACTTTTACCACAGTATAATTCACGGTGAAGCTATTCTAAGAAAACACCCCTGTAAGCATTCAAACAGAGAAAAACTCTATGTCTATACAAAGTGAGATGTCAATCTTTTCTAAGCACTATTCCCACACTAGCTGAGTACATCAGAGCCTGGGCTGTCGGTGTAATCCATGGTCCTGGGTCCCAATCCTGGCTTCACACAGCTATGTAGCTGTGGACAAGTTTACTTCTCTGCGCCTCAGTTTCCTCAGATATTAAATGTGACTATTTCTTAAGGCTGTGGTGGGGATGAGAAATTAGAATTGTGAGTGTTTGAACCATGCGGGCACACAGCAGGTGCACCATCACTGGCACCGTCCCTTGGAGCATAATGCCATTGCTCTCTGAGAGCGTGAAGGACGCATAAGCAATGAATCTTAAGGTATCTTTGTGCAGTACAGTGAGGGATACAAAACGTTTTTTGTAAGAAGTTTCTTTAAACTTCAACATTTTGATATCACTGGAAGGAAGAGATGGGGGAAAGTGTGTGGGCCATGTCTGAGGAGAGTGAGGGTCACTGCTCCTAACACACAAGCACAAAGGGGGACAGCAGGGCTCTAGGGAGGACCTGCCCACTGCCAGGCTCTGTCTTCCTCCTCATCAAGTGCAAGATGCCGGCATTCAGTAAAGGTTTGTGGCGTGAATGAATGAGAAGATGAATAGGACACAGAATTGCTTTTGATATGTTTGTAATCCAGGGGAGTTCTATGGGGTTAGGGTGTTAGAGTCACTGGAATCTACATCAACCTCTATTGTCAATCTGAAGTGAGCTGCAAGGTTTCTTGTTGGTTTATACAAAAGGTATCTGGCAGCACAGTTGTAGAGATATAAAATGATGGACGTATATTTCCAAGGATGCTTTTTCTTTTCCATCTCACTCTAATCAGTGTGTGTGTGTGTGTGTGTGTGTGTGCGTGTGTGTGTGTGTGTGTGTGTGTTGCATCCAGGCTTTCAGAATAGAAATCCTTTTAGAGTAGTATTTATGTCAGAAAGCAGAAGGCATATTGTCAAGCTTGCTTATTAAAATTTACAAGATTCTGGTGGTTTTGTTGGGCTCAGCACCAAATTTTTAGCAGGTGATAAAAAAAAGATTGTTTTTAATACCAGGGTACGCATGTGTGAGCGCACGCGTGTGCACACACACACACACACACACCCCACATAAACACATACACAGAACTTTTGTACACAAGTCCACATACTTCACTACATTCGGAGTTGCATCCAGAAATTTTCAGAAGACAGTCAGATAGTGTTAAAAAGTTTAAAAGGGAGAAGCCCAAACAGGCAATCCCCACAGCTTCTATTTACATAAGGTAGCAAAACAAACTCCTGAAACCTGTGAGCACTTAAAAAACTTCTTGGTTGTGCCAAAGTTGACAAAAATATAAGCTGAGGCTCTGTTCAAAACAGGAGGGACAGATTTTATGTTCTCACAAAATACTCCCTCTACCTAAAATATGTATTTATAGTTTTGGTTCAATTTTAGACAGAAGCAACCTTGAAACAGAAAAGCCAACTATGGCTCAAGTCAGGAATCAAAACTGAAGAAAAGGAGAGGCCTAAACAGTAAACAGGAAAAGGTAAGAGAAGTTAAACTCCTTAGGAAATCTCGGGGCAGGGGGAACACTTAGAACTTACATTATTTGCAACTTTTTTATATTTATCAAAGTTTGCCCATGTCTAGCAACCACGCACACAAATAGAAATAAACTTGGATAATTATTTCTAACACCTAAAATATAAACTCTCAGATTCTGCTCACATACAGCTACGAGGGATATCCTTATGAATTGTGACTTTAACAGTCCATCATGGGTTAAACATTAAAAACAGTTCCTAGAGCTCAAAGCGGGTAGACTTTATCCCTATTTTTTGGCATACATTTCAAGCATACACTCTTTAACACTGTTTAAGGAATTCAGTCAAAACCTCTATAGGAAAGAACATGAATAATTCACATTTATAAACCAGACGGAAGCCTCTATTATGTCAAGTAACCACACCTCAAAATCAGAAAAGAAAGAACTTAGGAAAAAAAAAGGTAGTAAAACCAAGTCAGAAAATTCACTTCAAAAACCCACAGGAAATGGAAAAGACCATACCTTGAATAACTCAAACTCCTTCTTTGGCATCAACAGCTAATGACAAATAATGAACATAAAATAAGTACGTAATATAGATGTACATCAGGCCAGCCAAAACGCAAGCACAGCACACAGGATTTCCATTGCCATCCCTTTAGGTTATGAAGATACATACATTGTACACTAATTTTTTCTTTTTTAACTTTGTTTGATTCTTGGATTCCCATAAGACAGGAGTGGATCTGGACAAGTGCAGGAACCCATGAGGCTCAAATGCTACGAGGAGCCACAAGTGCCTGAATGAATAGCCATGGCAGCACATGAGCACAATCTCAGTTTGGACTTTCTGTATTTTACTAAGTCTAGGCATGAAAATTAACTACTTCACAGCATATTCTATGTAGCTTCTACTCAAATTTATGACATTTTTACGTGGTCAGATATGATCTTTTGCTCACAATTCTGAAAATTAAAATAATTCTTCCTGGGACATGGGAAGCCACCTCAGGCTCAGGAGCTACACATGGGACAATCCATCCATTCTGGCTCTGTTGGCAGATCTGACTCTAGAGATCCTGTCAGACCAAACATCCCAATACTTGAATAGCAAGTGAATCCAGATGTGAAGGTGAATGCCTTAACCAGCATCACTTCAATTCTGGAAATGGGGCATAGGACTCAAGGACTGTTCAATGATCAAGAAGAGAAAGCCTGCCCCATGCAACCTATAGCATAAGTACACTGTAATCTTAAAATCTTGAGAGGAAAATGAATAAACACTCAGGTGGAGATAAGTGCAAGTTCAAGGTTGGCCAGTGGCAGAACATTGAAGAGAAGGAGGGCAAAGGCTGGTGCAGATGAACTGCTGGATCCTCCAGCCACTGCCTCAGCGCCATCGCCTAATAAGAGGAAGCCACTGAATAGGAGGTAAGAGTGAGCAGGCAGAAATACTGCTTCTTCAAATGTCAAAACACTGCAGAATGAAAAAGTAGCATTCAGAGAAACAGTCATTTCCTGGAAAACATTTTGTGCAATATCCTAAATATTTGAACCATAAAACATATGAATAATTCTTCCTTATGTCTCTCACCATTGTCCCTGAAATACCCTAGAAAAAAATTATACAACCAATTAAACCTCAAAATGACTAACACAAAAAAAAATATTTAAACCCTTCTTAAGAGTAATAAATTTTAAAATTTGTTAAAGTTAAGTTTTGCTCAAAAATCATAATTACCTGTATGGTATGTGTGTATGGTGGATCAGCACGCCCCAATCCAGATTCTGTAGGTCTCACAATATCCAAAATGTTATTTGGCACAAATCCAGATTCTCCGTTTGCATTTCGAACTTTCCACCACTGCTTCCTATCATCCAGGATCTGTCATTATGCAAGAAAATAAAGACATCATTTCTGTACCAAAAACAATCTATGAAGGAAATTCAATTTTTACTTCTAGACCAAGAAACTTTTAGTTTTAGCACTCAGTTAGAAACTAAGAAAAGAGACTTGGGAGTCATCGTAGATTATTCCCACAACACTTACTTCACTCAGTGCTGGGTATATTTGTGCCAGGGAACTAGGACAGGAAGAGGACCAATGTTTTCTCTTATTAAAATATAGGGCACGTATACATGTGACCTGGTAAGTAGACTTGATTCTAAAATGAATAAAGCCCAGGAGGAGGAAGAGGGCAAAGTAAGCCCAGAAACTCACCCCCACCTGACCCCCCCAAAAGAAACCAACTGACCAATAACGAACAGATAAAGTACTTGCCCTCCTAAAAAGACACAGGTGCCCAATCTGCTCTACCCTTGCTAAAATAAAATGATACTGAAGAATAACTGCCTGACCTCAACATTTCTTTGAGAAAGGTTTAGGTAAATACCCAAAGAGGAATAGAATAAATCCACTTTACTAAGAGTATGTAAAGGTAAAATGCTACTACCTCTAAAATATTATCCTTTTGAACTGAGAGCTCACTGTTGTTCCTTGCCACAAAGTCATACTTGGATTTGGCATATTTCTTGGGTTGTGTTACTTGTGGATCATAATTTCTATAAAAAGAAAGAAAAAAGATTATTCTGCTAGCTCTTCCTACAGGGTGAAAACAGAAGTAAAACACTAAGGCAAGTCAACTCCTACCAGGAAACATTCTGACATTATTTTGACTGTAGTTTAGTTTTATGATATTTGATAGAATATGAAAATTAAAAGAAAATTTGGACTTTTCATTATTAAAATGAACAAACTATGGCTAGGGCAAAAATATGTAATGTGAACTGACAAGGCTAGTTGGCACTAAGACACATCTAGACTGCAAGTCTGAATTATTTAACCACTAAATATACATTGTGGGTATTGCTTTGTTAATTATCTTCTACCATGAAAGAATTAGGATAAAGATCAATGTTAAATTGTTAGATTTTAAAGAAAAATCAATAAAAACATTTTTTTAAGTTGGAAAAAAAAGATCAATGTTAGCATTTTACATAAAATTAAAGGAGACTGAAAATAGTTTCCATAGTGGTAACTTCAATTATATGTTGATTTCACTATTCAAGTAACATTTTCAATTTATTAACCGAATATATATTTAAGAATTATGACTGTCCAATTTTAGGAAAGCTTTATCTAGTTATCTAAATTGCAAGGGAAGGTATGGATTAAGTACAAACCAATAACACTTCCAAATTAATTAAATAATTTACTATAAGCTTACTTTAATAGGAAGAACATAAGAATTCTGTATTTAAAAAAATAAAACTTTCTTAATAAACCAAATACTTCTTTTAATCATTAACTTACCATTAATAGATTTAACAGCATAATTAAAATACTTTTATATAGAATACAATAAAACCTGATATATATCAATAATGAACTAATATTATTTTCTTCATTTTAATAATAAAACAACTTTAACGGTTATGAATTAATTTTACTCCCTAATCTTCTCCTCCATTTACATCCCCACATTTCCTCACACATCTCTACAAGATGAAAAGCAACAGGGACTAAAATGGCTCGTCATCCTTCTCCTCTTAACATGGCCATTCCCTTTGCTGCCAACCAAGGTCTTCTGGAATGATGAGTCACAGCAGGAACTGCAAGATAGCTACGGACACAATATGTTCTGTCCCCATAGCTAAATGGTTCTTCTTAGATTGTGACTCCAGAACAAGAGGTTCAGGGACAAAGAAAAAAGATGAGCTGTAAGATATGCTATTGGCTATTCTTGGTATACTTAAAAAATGAGAAAAAGTCAAATCATTACTACATATTATTAATAATGAGAATTCTAAATTGTGTTCCATGGATTTCCCATCCTTATCTCTAGTTATATGATCCTAGCTATTAAGATTTCTTTGGGAGTGGGGGGAAGAGGGTAAGATTCAATCACTCCCAAACTTACAAAAACAGTTTCTCTCTTTCCTCCCGCATGTTCTCCTCTCCTATGATCTGGAAAATAAGCACAACTGACAAAGCAGAGTTGAGTACCGTCACAGGTAAAGTAACTGCCACTGTGCACTGAGTCTGCGGGTTCAAGAGGTTTGGGCTGCGTTTCTCCTTTAAGTTTTTGCTATCTTGGGTGTCTCAGAAGCAACTGCCCAGCATGCACTTAAAAGTACTTCAGAATTTACAAATCTTCAGTTTCTCGCTTTCTCTAGATTAAACCTAGGTATACACTGACCATAGCTATCAATTTGAAAAATCACACCTTGCAAGTTTTCAGATGTACCAAAGTTTCCTTAAAGACCTGGAATGTATAAAAATAATATGGTCTCTGTTTCTGATTTGGAGTAATAGATATACATTTAATATAGAGTAGACGTGGAGAAAGAATGACCCAAGACTTCTCTAAAACACTACTTGCTTTTGAATGGCAGTAAACTATAATCCTTCAAAGGTGAGGGCTGTAAATTCAACAGGTGATTTCCTAATGACATAGTAATTTCATTGAACAGTGAATATACTTCAAATGGTACTTACTGTATTCTTGGCGTATAACACAGTTTAAGATGAATAATAATTATTATAAAAACGAATTCCAACCCTCTGTGTATTTCATATCCGATGAGAACTTTCAGCTTTTACAAAAGTGATGACAAATTTTCTTAGCAACACAGATAATTAATGACCCGGGTGTCTATCAACTATCCAGCCCCTATTATAACAGCCCAACTGAGAGGTGGGCTCCATAAAGACAACTGAGTTATATGGTCTACCCACTACCCACCATGTTTTTCAAACATTCTTTCTGTGGCTAAACTATGGTAACTCTAAGGTCTATTGAATATCCCTACATGAAATTTTCATCGCTAAATTCCATTTTAATTTATTATTCAGAAAGGTTACTAAAATAAACCTTATGAAATTCACCACAGTATTCTCTAAATGAGGTAAAATATGTAATAACTTTTAAAAGAATGTCCCTTACATCATCTGTGATATATAAAATTCCATGAGAAAACTGACGCTGTTTTCTAGTTACCTAACAGTGAAAAACCATCCCAATTTACTGGAGTTATGAAACAAAAGGAAAAGGTAAGAATCATTAATCTGAAATAACTTCTTGATTATTGACAACTAAGGTAGAAACAAAGGGATAAGAAAATATGAGGATGAGTAATGATTAGTCAAGAAGAATTTCAATGAAATAATTTTTAAACTTCAAAAGTGATTCTCATGTATATCTACTAAAATTGCACCTAAAATTAAAAAGTATTTCATGTTGACATTTTCAAAATGTGTTATTCATTCCTGACTCTTCTTTGCACTCAATTAGAATAATACCTGTATAATTTTCACACCTTTTAGTTAAATATTATCTATGTCATCATTCCCAACAGAATATCACCTTCTTTAGATTCTATTAAGAAAAGAGCATACTGGAAAAATAATAAATAAATAAATAAATAGGACACTCATGGTGAGTGAGGCTTTGAGATAGGAGAGCATAGAACAAGCTCTCTACCCCACTTCATCGGAGTGATCATTTTCCCATACCCTTGCTACCAACATTTCACCTTTCCTTTCTCTTATATGGGTTGGCCTCTGTGTCAACCTCACTTGTCGAGGCTGGAAAACAAGATTGAAAAAGTGAACCTATTCCAATTCCTTTATTTCTTACCCATCCCAATTTCCCATCTCTGCCTATATTAAATTTTTTAAGAGAGAAATTTGGGGAAATTAATAAAATGTAAAACTGGAAAGTGAGAATACAGTAAGACAAAATGGTAAAATGGTAAATAAGGCATTGACTCCATTAAAATATTTAGTTTAGTTTTAGTTTAAATATTTCTATATAAAGAAAGATTTGTTTGTTTCTGGAGAGAAAAGATGAAAATTATTCCCTCTAAAAGATACAGAGCTGGTAGAGACTATCTGGTGCAAACAGTTGAGAATGTTAAAGCCATTCTTCTTAATTCACATATTTTGTCAGAAACATCATCTTAAGAAGAGAAAGTCATCCAACGGCAGTTATGCTACGTTAGAATTGTGGACTGGAGGTTTTGTTCATCAAAGCCAGTTCTACGATGGAACAGCTGAAACTTTACAAATGACTGACAGATGGACAGTTTAAAGCTGTAGTGAACAATGCAGACACTGGCATCTCTATTTGCACTAAATCAGAGATAGTCCTCCACAGCTCTCCCAGTGATGCCCATGGAATATTACCTATCTACATGGCGATTAGGCGTTGGCTTAAAAGCAGCAGCAGTGTCCCCTTGGTCCAGATGGGGCCCTCTTGTGTAAATGCTATTGAATGCATACCCCTCAGGGGGAGGTGGGAAGTACTCTGATGCACTGGATTGCTGCAAGACAGGGAAGGAGAGATTAAAGAATCACCAACATTAATTAACTGAATGAGCACTGACGTTAATCAATACGAACACTTCGCTATACTGTGATCAGTTTCATTTTCAAGTGATTGCCCATTAAGTTAATAACCATTAAGTGAATAAATTATGAAACAAGGTAGATACATTCTGTCCAAGACCTACTTATAATAAGAAAAGTAACTAGAGCAAAGGCTAAATCTTAATTCTGGAAATGTCCAGGTATAAAAACAATACAAGCATAACTCAGAGATACTGCGGGTTTGGTTACAGACCACTGCAATAAAGCCAGTACCCAACAAAGCAACTAGTAATATTTTTGCTGCTGAATGGTCTGGCCTTCAATTTGTAAAAAACAAACAAACAAAACAAAAAAACACACAACATCTGTGAAGAGCAATAAAGCGAGGCACAATAAAATGAGGTATGCCTATACATTCCTTCCTCAGGAATTTCAGTACTAGGTGATTTTAGGATTAGGCAGACTTTAAGAGCTTATATAAAATAAAAGTGGTTTAAAAATAAAAACAAAGCCCTTAATCCTTGCTTTCTATGTTTAAGAAGCAGTCCTTTACCACTAGCAAGGTAAACATTGTCACATGAAAATCATCTGAACTCTGTGCATTGAAATTATACCACCTTCTCATTTTTCTTATTATTTAAAATGTACACAGAAAATATTTTGTATTATTTTTTAAATGGCAGCACTATTATCAGATTTACTGTTGAGGACATAAAAAGGCAGAAACACATCGATCTTAACAGTCAATAGTCCAGAAGGAGACAATGCCAGAGTCACTTCCTTTTGCAGTTAACACAACTCGGACATGGGCTTACTGGACTAACCAAGGGAGACTGAGGACTATGGTTTCACTGAACAGCATGCTTCTAAAATTATGGGGAAAAACAAAGAAACAAAACACACACACACATTCATCTGAAGATTTTGGTAGCAACCTTTTGTAAAGTGAGGTCTGGGGGATACATGACAGACTCTGAAGCACTAGGATTCCTTGGCTATTTCAATTGTTTATGTAATCCCTGGGGTAAAATATATTAAAACCGGGAATGGTTTAAAAAACTACTGGGCACATGTTTAATATAGTTATTTCTAATGACAAAGTTGGCAGGAGTAGGGCTGTGTTTATCACAGCCCGAGCAGATGAGGTATCTCCATGGTCTAGTGTTGATATTTAAATACCCATATCATATTATTCCTAGGAACTATATGAGGATGCTGCACTTAACACACAAATAAAATTAAACAATTTCCACCATTTGATTACCTTAGCAAACCATTAACAAAGTGAAAAGGCAATCTATGAAGTGGGAGAAAATATTTGCAAATCCTATATCTGATGGGGGTTAATATCCAAAATACATAAAGAACTCATACAACTCAGTAGCCAAAAAACAAAATCCAATTAAAATATGGGCAGAGGAACTGTACAGACATTTTCTCAAATAAGTCGTACAAACAGTCAACAGGTACATGAAAAGGCACTTAGCATCGCTAATCATCAGGGAAATCTAAATCAAAACCACATAAGATACCACCTTCCACCTGTTAGGATGGCTATTATAAAAAAGACATACAATAACAAAATGTTGACAAAGGTGTAGAGACAAGGAAACTCTTGTGCTGTTGTTGGGAATGTAAATTGGTATAGTCATTATGGAAAACAGTATGGAGGTTCCTCAAAAATCAAAAATAAAACTACTATATGACTCAGCTGTCCCATTACTGGGTATATTACTGAAGAAAACAAAATTAGGGTCTTGAAGAGATATCTGCACTCTGATGTACATTTCAGCATTATTCATAATAGCTAAGATATGGAAACAGCCTAGGCATCCACCAATAGATGAGTCGATAAGGAAGATGTGGTATGTGTATGTATACGTGTAAGATATACATATGTTACAATGGGATATTACTCAGCCATGAGATATAAGGAAATTCCACCATTTGCAACAACATGGATGGATGAACCTTGAGGGCATTATGCTAAGTAAAATGAGCCACACAGCAAAAGACAAATATTGCATGGTATCACTGACATGTGGAACCTTAAAAAAAAAAAAGGTCAAACTCATAGAAATAGAAAAATGGTTGCCAGGGGCTGGGGGATGTAAGAAGAAGTTGTTGAAAGGGTATAAACTTTCGGCTATGAAAGGCTTGAGGATCTAATGTAAAACATGGTGACTACAATTTATAACATTGTACTATATAATTCAAATTTGCTAAAAGAGTCGAACTTAAATGTTCTCAACAACAAAGATAAATAAATATGTGAGGTCATGGATGTGTTGATGTTAATTAACTAGATGGTAGTGATGCTTTACGTAAAGATACTTTAAATATCTTACATTTTTTGTCAATTTTACCTCAATAAAGCTGAAAAATAAAATAGAAAACAAATAGCTTAATTCAGTTTATCATTTCCCAAGGACAGAGTAGAGGAATTAGATGATTAGTCAATTTTTCATTGAAGGCTGTCATAAATATAGGGAGGAGTTCAAGGACCTGTTAGAGTCACCCACAGAGTGAAGCAACCATATGAGATCGCCGGGCCCTGAGAGCGACGGGAGTGTCAGGAGGAGGAGGAATGATGCCAAGTGACTCTGACGACCACACAACCTCGTGTGGACCTGCTGCTGGCTCAGCGGAAGTAAAGGTGAACACTGCCACCGTGTTTGCCACTCCACTTCACCTATGCCTTCGATTCTAAACAAAACCTGAGTCAGCCAAGGCTTGCCCTGAATGTATTCATAAAAGTAGCAATAAAGTGTAATAAAATCTCTCTTCTGGGAATGACTACATTCCTTACCCATTTTAAATCATCAGTACTTGGCTTTTCAACAAAATCTTAGGGTATAAAATTTCTTAGAAATGCTAGCAGGTGCCTTTCTTTTTTTAAAAAAAAAAAAAAGAAAATCTCTGAAAAATCACTTATAACCAGAAAATGAGATAATGCATTATAAGGAAGGACTGTCAATAATTCTTGTTTTAAAATTACTTACTAAATGAGAGGAAGTAACTTTTACACTCGAAGTCCCAAATACATTACCCTCTCTTTAAATATATGCACAAACTTAAAAAGAACTCACAGAAGAGAACCCACAAAAGTGAATTTCTGAGGCATAATTATAAAGTAGATATATTTTCTTATTTAATATATGAAGACTGTAAGCTGGAAATTTCTATAATTTGAAAATAGTCAGCTGTAACTATAGCAACAGCAAGAGTAACATAATTTCATGTTTGATTACATTTATTCCTCTAAAAACTCTGCTCTCTATGAGGAAAAAATCTCACAGTGATGAGGTCTTAACTATGAAATTACAGACAGGGTTGTGTGCCTGCCAACCACTGCCCAGAACTCTGAGGTCATCTTCTTAATCACTCAGTTGGAGGGAAGGGCAGTTACGGACTCCACCTAAACCGTTATATGCAGCCAGAGGAAAAAGTCACATTAGAAAAAAATTATTTTCAAAGCAGTATGTTCGCTTTATTTTTTTTAATATATATTTTTTATTGATTTCAGAGAGGAAGGGAGAGGAAGAGAGAGATAGAAACATCAATGATGAGCGAGAATAATTGATTGGCTGCCTTTTGCATGCCCCACACTGGGGATTGAGCCCACAACCCGGGCATGTGACCTTGACTGGAATCGAACCCAGGACCCTTCAGTGCAGAGGCTAAAGCTCTCTATCTACTGAGCCAAACCAGCCAGGGCAGTTTGCTTTATTTTTAAAGTTTCAGAATTTAACCAACTCTCTATAATATGGTTATTGTCTAAGGGAATAATTTTAAGAAATTAAACTTACATAAATTTTTCTCTTTAAAAGTAAGGGTTTACTCTGGTTTGTGAATTCATTCATTGATATCATATCTACTACATTATAAATAGCACAGTAGTCCAAGAACATTAATCTAAGAAATTAAAGAAAGAAAATGAGTAGGACTTCAAGGAAGACCTTTTCCAAACTAGACTTCATTCCTCTAATTACTTCTAATCACCTTATTCGATTTAATTCGGCATTAAGCAATGTTCAACTTTATTTTCTGATAGAACAAGAAGAGTCATAGCAAAATCATTTTTAAGGAATATAAAGAGGTAACATACCCAATTTCAATCTTTTAATTTGCTCCCCAAATAGGTGTACTCTGTAGCTTACTAAATATATAAAAGATACAATAGATTTTATTACCTCCTGAAGGTATAAGTAACAGTGTTATAAATGATCATTTGAAGCTGCGACTTTCTCCTAGCCAGGCTGATAGGACCCCAGAGGTTTGAAACTAGGCAAAAAGAAAAAGAAAACGGGGAAAAAAATGGAAGGAAGGAGGGAGAGAAGGAGGGGGGGAAAGGAGGAAGAAATGAGGGAGAAGAAAGGAAAGAATTAAGGCTTTCAGGAAAGACCAGTTTGGGACGAGCTTAGAGAACCTGGGTTCTGGGAAATGTCCTGAGGGTCTAAAGATGGGAGAGGAAAATAGAAAGAATAAGGCAGTGGTAGGAGAGAAATTTCCAGATAAGGAGAAAGAGAACACACTTCAAAAAGATGGGATCACTGGAGTTCAGGGAGCACTGGCAGGGTGAGGGGGCACTGGCAAGATGGGAGCACTGGCAGGATAGGAGCCACCAGCAGGATGGAGGCACTGGCAGGATAGGCAGGGGGGCAGCTGGCAGGCTAGAAGGGATGATATGGACTCATGTTGGGCTTCACAGGGAAACAGAAACTGTCACAACAAAGAGGAGAGAAAGAGAGAGAGAGGTAACTAAGGGCAGAACATTTCATCACTGATTCTAGAATATCTTCAGATAAAAAGAGAACTCAGTGGATATTAAGAAAATGCACAGATCATGGTATTTTCTGCAAAAGGTATGTTTAAAAACCTTCACCTCTGTGGAGTATCTTTTTGCTTCATGTCTGTGTTGATGTTCTGCTACATTTGCCACAGTGCCAGCCAACTGATAAAGGTCTTGTTCCAGTGGAGCTCCCATGAAGTTCAGCATGGGCGGCTCCCAGCCACTGCGGAACCGTGGGACGTATGGTGCAATAAACTGTTCTTTTGGCCACTCTGTTCTGTAGGACATTAAGGTGTACAAAAAATAAAATTAAGAAATGTATTCATGCTCAAGATTATCTTTAGTAAGGCTAGCGATAAAACACAAACACAAATGCACAAAACAACAAAAACGGTGCATACCTAATCTGCTTTCCCTTCACCAAAAAGGTAAACATGTTCATCTCGTATTTAATACATATAAAATGAAAGGAAGGTTGAATTCTGCTTCATTACCTGTTTTACACCATGCCTCAAATCCCCATTCATTCAACTTTTAAACATGGGTATATGTTTTCGAAAATTTGGGAAAGGATCAACATGAAACTAGAAATGTGCTAAGTATTTAGAATATTAACTTCTCTAGTATCTAAAGTAGTTTCCGATTGCCATCTTTTCCTTCATTCTCTCCCATCATTCTGAAACCTCCAGATATTGGATATATTTTTCAAAAGAGAAACAGCAGAGATGTTCTTAAGGTTTATGATTTTTTAAGTTATGAAGTCCCCAAAAATGAAACATTGCTGATTTTGTAAATTAAATGTATCAGCAACATTTTAATAAGTAAAATCAAGTTAGGACTTGTCTGTAATCACTATCATTATCCATTCATTTTTTAATGACTTTGAGTGACACTTATTTCTACAAGCCCCTAATCACTCATGAACCATAAAAATAACTAGGACAGAAATTATAGCTTCATTTCTGCTAAAATCTGTTTATCTTTCACACCTGATTTAATTCTTCAGATTGTATTTCTACTTTAATGAAATTAGCCATTGCATTCATATTATTATGTACCTTCATGATTATTTTTATCTTTATGAGTTTTTAAGTCAGTGTATTCATTTCCTAATACTCTTAGAATTAAAATAGCTTTTTCAGGCTTATCATAAAATCATAATATACATAAATCTAGTAGGTTTAAGAAATCTATTTAATGAGTTTTTACATGATATAATATATACATAGTATGATATAGGGTTATATTAATAATAGAGGCCTAGTGTGTGCAAGGATTCGTGCACCAGTGGGGTCCCTCAGCCTGGCCTGCGGGGATCAGGCCTAAACCAGCAGTCGGACAGACATTCCCCGAGGGCTCCCAGATTGTGAAAGGGCACAGGACAGGCTGAGGGACCAGCCCTCCCCCCCCCACCAATTCATGAATCTGTGCACCTGGCCTCTAGTATTTTCAATATAAAAACAACTGCGTGCTTTTAAAGAGCTTTCTGCTTGGTAAAACATTCAACATGTAAACCATATTCTATCACAAGCAGTTGCCAAAGTCCAAATGGTTTGGATTTTGGGAATGGTTTATATGTTTCAATAGAAAAAGGAAAACAAAATAGTGAGCTGGGCCATTACTTTTAGGCTAGCCCTTTCAAAAGCATTAGGAAGACAAGCTAGTAAGTGACCATAGTGAGTGATTCCCTCCTTAAGTATTGACAGAAATAAAAAGGTTTGGAAAGCCCTAGCTGGTTTGGCTCAGTGGATAAAGCGTCGGCCTGCAGACTGAAGCATCCTGGGTTCAATTCCGGTCAAGGGCATATGCCTGGTTGCGAGCTCGATCCCCAGTGGGGATCGTGCAGGAGGCAGCCAATCAGTGATTCTCTCTCATCATTGATGTTTCTATCTCTCTCCCCCTCTCTCTTCCTCTCTGAATCAATAAAAATATTTTTTTAAAAAAGACTTGGAAAAATAAGGAAAGCAAAAATTATTTATTCATGTATAATGAAAAGAGAAACATTTTTATTACTTGCTTTGCTCAGCAAACTTGAACACTGCAATTGTTAATGATTTGTTTTCCACGATCACTTTATTGACAAGATATAATTCTTAAAATTTCTCCCTCCTCCTTTCCATTGTCACACCACAATTCTAGTCCCAGATCTGACTTTAGGTGGTAAACACACAATGCAATATACAGATGATGTATTATAGAATTGTACAACTGAAACCTATATAATTTTATTAACCGATATCACCCCTAATACATTTAATAGAAAATTTTAAAAAATAATGAACTACAGCATTATCATCCAAAGGGGCCTCTTCGCCTCTAGTTACTTCTGTCCTTGTTTTTATTAAACTCAACTATAAGAATGATCTTTCTAAAAACACATACATGTTTATGTCATACTCCACTTCACAAAGTTATTGGTTCTCCACAGACTATAGAGCCTTGCTCCAACTCCACAGCATGGCATTGAGAGCCTTCATAACCCAGCCCTGCTCATTTCTGTTTGCCTCATTTAACACCATTCCTCCTCCCAATTCTCCACAATCCCCCACTACCCAAAGTCTATATTCTAATTGAACACATATTCATACTTCAATCTACTGCTTCATGCCTTCCCTCGAGCTTCTCTCTCTGCTGGGAAGGCCCTTTCGCTGCTATGTATTTGTGGAAATCCTACCCATCCTGCTGACAGGCAGCTTAGAGAAATAATTATGAACATTGACTACAGGGCCAGATTACCTAGTTTCAAATCCCCACTCTGCCACGTATGAGTTGTTTGGCTTTGGGCAAATTAGTTTACCTCTCTATGCCTCAATTTCCTAATCTGTAAAATGGGAATAGTAACGTACCTCTATAAAGTGAATGAAAGAGTGACTAGCAAACTCTTCTGTATGTGTATGTCTATATAGAAACATGCATCTCTCTACTTAATGGTTTTAGCTATTGATTTTAAATGCCAGCTCTTCTTTGAACACTAACTACCCTCCTCTCTAAATCCTCTTCCTGACTGTTCCACCTTTCCAACCAATAGCAGTTTGTTTATGTCACTTTGGCATTTATCATGCCTTATATTCCATATACCTCTATGTTCGCCCCCAGACTTTTAGCCTTTCATGGGTTTTCATCTATAACACCTAGTCTTCATACTTAGAAGGTTAAATAAATGTCTTGTTAGATCCATACAATAAACAAAGAACAATACTTAAAGTATTATAGGTATTAGATGCTAAACTCATGTTTACCTGGCTTTCATCCAAGTTTCTCCCAATGACATCCACAGCTGTCTTTCATCTGTATTGACAGTATAATTTAAGAAATCAATTGTATCTTTAGTCAATAGGGGGCTGAGTACTGAACTGGCTAGTTCAGGACCTCCTGTTGCCTGCACCACCTAAAAACACAATACATCATTTTTTAGCAAGACGACGATTATTTGTATATTTTCAAAAGCCATGCCAAAACAAGCACTGGTTTTATAAACTCAAATTAACTTTTGATGTTGTGCAATGCACTACTGAATGAAAAACAGCTTGCCAGATGATCTGTCCAGATTGGTGGTGACTAATCTAAAATGAAAAGTTAATAATTTAACAGCTTTCATGGGCTCTGTCAATTGGCTGCATATCACTGTACTTTACTTGGAAAATACTAATATCTTTACAGAGAATTCTAAGTCAGATGGTTTAACCAACTCTGAATTTTGGTTTGTTTAAAAAAAAAAAAAAGATCTTCACTGGAAATCTATTATGCCAAACTTGAAAAATATGGTTATAGAAAGGAAGACTATGCTCAAGCTAACAGTCTGTGGCTGTGTCTACAAAGATGTACAAAAATAAAAGGGCCTAAAGAGAAAAGTGAAAGAAAGAGAACTGGGACTCTGAATCTATGTATTTTTCCCTAGAATTTAATCCAAGGAAATTGTCCTGACTTGAAATGGATAATTTAATGACCAGCACAAACAAATAAACAGGTGTAACTCTCTGATAAATAAAGTGATGATAAGAGAATTTCTGAAAACTGTTCCATATTTACTTTTCAGGGGCTATTTCCTGGCTAAAGAATGGCAGTTATTATCTCCTAGAGCAGAAACCAGAGCCCTTTTATAGAAATCTCACCTTCCCAGAGATGTGGCACAAGAAGAAAGAAATGGGTTTTTGAATGGTGCCAGACTAACAATCACCTTCTCCCCAGTCGTCCTGGTGTTCTGAGCCTGCTGTGCTGTGCAGACCTCTGTGTATGTGACATGCTGTTTCCCAGTCTCCCAGAAGGCCCTCCTCCATCACCAGGTACCACCTCTTCTGGAAAGCCCTTCTGAACTCCTCAGTGTAACTCTGATGCACCTCTATGCCCCCAAAATCATTTGTGCATATCAGTAACAAATTGCATTATAGCCTATGGCTTATTTTTTAGTTTCTGCTCCCTTGAGAACTTGGACCAAAACTTATCTGATTTTGAATTGCAATAGACACAGTGTTACGGGAATGAATGAGAACAAACAAAAGAAAAAATGAAGGATAAGGGAGGTGGGCTCTTACTGAGAACAAAATCTACCTTGACAACCGGCACAGTGATTATTTACTTGCAAGCCTTACAAGTACTTCCAGTAAATACATAAGGAAAAAGTAAAGAGTAAAGGAGTAGAGAAATATTAAAGAGTTTATTTTCACAGAGGGAAAGGGAGTAAAACTAAAGCAGGTAAACAAAAGGCTATGGGCCAAAGATCCTTCTCAAGAATGTGAGTAGACATGTGTGCATGCATGTGTGCTGTGGATATGCTTGTGTTCAGATGCTGAGGGTATGGGTTTAAACTCACAAGATTTAAAGCCACTAAACTTTGTCTGGCTAAAAGTCAGGCCCTAATAAATATTCCTTCCCATCTCCACATAAAATGTCTGGGCTCTATAGGCAGAACATTAAATGGAGTAACAGAAATATTATGTTTGGGAAGACCATTAACAAGGAGTCACTGTTGAGGAAAAAAATATAAAATATATCAATGTTTTCAGATACCTAGCCTAATTAGAAAGACTACATTTTGTATGTTATGGAAACTAGTCACTTAATTTTATATTCTTACTTTGTGTAATGACTAAAGAGCTACTTATAATCTGTGAAAGTGTGAAATAAATGAGAGGAGGTGGCAAAACTGCATCATGAACAATTCTTCCTAATACTCAAACTGAGATAGTATCAAATGTGTTAAAAAATAAAGAATACAAATTTTGTTAGTGAGCTAGAATCAGTTTCTTTGCATATGAATGGCCCTCTAATTTTAAAAATGCTTACACAGCAAGAATTATTCAACTATAAATAGACAAGTGGAAACCTGGTGCTCTATATATAGCAACAACATATGGAAGCATTCATAAATTACTGACGTAGCCTTGGACTTTCATCTTCTAATCTCTCATTGCCCAATTCTGACTTCATGCTGATAATGTCACATACTTTCCTGTCTGTAAAGCAATATCCATTTCATATTCTACTTCAGGTCTTGTCTAGTTACCCTTGGTGAAAGAAGAATGAGATTTATTCCTTTTTATTACTTAGATTCTCTTTTCCCCCCATTTCTTCCCTAATATTCAAGTAAAAGCTATGAGAAATGCTGAATTTGCTCCATTTTTTATAAAGATTAAAGAAGTTAATGACCATAGTCTTCATATGCTCTAAATAAAAAATAGTGAAATGTATCTGCTTCATATAATTACTATTCTTACTCTTCAAAAAAAATCATAGGAGCGGTACACAAAGCAACACTAACTGTTCTTATTGCTACTGTCATTCTACAAAGTAATCATTTGCTCTTGGACAGGGTGAATCACTCACAGACACTCCAAACATTCCTGCCTTAGCCCCCCAAATAGGAAACTCTGTCCTCCTGCAAGTTTTTAAAAGAGGTTCTGCTTTCTTCCCACTTCTCTCTCAGTTGTCTTCCCCACAAAAAGGGGAATGGTCTATATCAAATTTGTGGGATTATAGAAAAGGGTGATTTGTAGCCCAGTTTCCTTAGGATCTGTCTACGCATGAGGGCAATTGCTCCATCTGCTTGCTATTGCCATGCTTTTCTGAGAATTCAGCACTTTCCTCTGTGCACCCTTAAATATTATTCCAGCTCAGTCTTCCAGCTCTCCTGCAGAACAAAGGGGTTGTACATAAAGCCAGCTTAGAAAACCCGCTGCTGTATTATTTGTAAATATGAGAAATATAAAATGGGAAGGGAAATATAAAATGGGAAGGGAAGTGCCTTACTGTGCCCCTTCATTAAATGTATAAGGAAAGAGCACACCTGGGTATTAAAAATCTAGAAAATGAAGATGTGTGTCTTGGATCCTGGCCTATGACAAGTTGGCTAACATTCCAGCTGCTTCATAAAGGGAATTATTTCCAATACACCATTTTGTTAGCTTCAAAAATTATACCTCATTCAAAATATACATGTGGAGAAGGAAGTTTTCTGGGGGGGGGAATGGTGTTATGTGCACATCACCACACCACAAACAGTGTGTAGGCCAAAGACTGCCAACTGTCCCCTAGTGTCCCTTCTCCTCCTCTTCCTCCTAGAAGAAGCTTCTGCATTTCAGATGGACACAGAGACACTCAATGGAAACTCTGTTGCTTTAGTGTTAGGTGTTGGCCCCATGAGGAAGTTCAGGCCAACTGGATAATAGCAGAAATTATCTGTCTAAGCTCAAAGTTCCTCTTTAAAGACAACACTCTTTGCCTTTGTACGGCTATTAAAAGGATATGGAGGTAAATGAGCTTCCACTCCAGATATCTATAATAATAAAAGCATAATTTTCTAATTAGACCAGACGTCCTTCCAGACAATCTTCCAGACGAAGCCAGGGCCGCAAGGGAAGCCCGGGTCCTGGGTGCCAGAGGGAAGCCGGTGCCGGCAGCCAGGGGTAGGAAAGCCTACTCTTGCACGAATTTCATGCATCGGGCCTCTAGTCTAACAGAAATGCTCAATTCTTCCTCTTGGAAACATTTTCTTCCTTTGGCTTCTAGAATTCCACAATATTCTTGTGTTTCTCTTCCTTACTACTTCTTCTCAATCTTCTTTGCTAGTCTTTCCCATTTTTTGACCCTGAAACTGCGTTGGCTTCATCAGTCCTTGTCTGTCTTCTTTATTTATAATCACTCCCTTGGTGGCATCATTCAATTTCCTGGCTTCAAATGCCTTCTCTATGTAGATGGCCCTCAAATTTATATCTCTAGGCCTGATTTCTCCACTGAACTCCAAATTCAAATATTCAACTACCAGTTCAAGTTTTTCCATCTGGATATAACTCAATTTTCACATGACTAAAATCAAATTCCTTATCTTCTTCCAAAACCCCATTTCACCCCGTCTTCACCAACTCAGTTAATAATGAGTCCATCTTTCCAGTCAGGCTAAAAATTATGGGGTCTTGCACAGCACATCTAACCTACCAGCAGATCTTGTTGCTTCTATGGTTTATAACCAAAACCTGACTTCGCATCACCTTTGATGTTACCTGGTCCAAACACCATAATCTCTTGTCTGCGTTATTTTAACAGCCACCTCAGTCCCTTCTTCCCCCAAATTTCTAATCATTCAGAAAGAGCAATCCTTTCCTTTTCTGCTGAAAACTCTCCAAAAATGTTAAAGGTTTTACAATCACCTAAAAGGTCCAATGACACATGTCTACCTATTAATTTGCTGACCTCCTCCCTTACTCTGTTACAATTACAAAACCAATATATTCCAAGACCATAATTTGCATATTATCACCTAAGAGCATTTATATTAGCTATTCTCTGCCTGCAATTTTCTTTCTGCAGAAATCCATGTGACTCATTCCTCACTTTGTTGGCTCAAATGACACTTTTTCAGTGAGTTGTACCCTTAACCAACCCTATTCAAAAATTGTAGAATGCACGCACACACACACACATGCACCTGAAACACTCCCCGTTCACCTGCCCTGCTCTATTTTTTCACATAGCACTTACTTTTAGTGAACTGTATTAGTTATGAATTTATTTAGGTTATGGTTTATTCCTCCATATTAAAATATAAGTTCTGAGAGGATAAGAATGTATGTCTGTTTTGTGCCTTATGAGCTACTAATAATGCCAAGCACATATAGCAGGCTATCAATTAGTATTTGTTAAATAAATAAACAAGCAAACAAACAAAAAACACCCAAATGACTGACTCAGAGACAGCTGAGGTGAAGGAGGAAGACCTCAATGAAAAGAATCTGAGTCTGAGTAACATCATGCAGAAAAGCCATCCATACAGCCCAGCCTCGTCATGCCTAGCCTATTGTGTGACAATGAGAAAAATGTCTATATTGCTCAAGTCATTGATATTACACTAGTACCTACTGAAACACTAGTATCCGATAATTTATTTCTTTTCATTCCCCTAGATCGGTCAGAGACGACAGTTTCCACAGCTCTAAAGTAAGTGAAATATATGATTTCTAAGGTTCCTTTAAACTCTTAAATTTCACATTCTCAATGTTTACACAGATGATGAGGTAATAAAGAAAAACTGTCTATATAATCTAACAGACACTTGGGGTTCAAAAACATACTAAGAATGATTATGTTCTTAAATTTATAAAATCTTACCATATTTAATGGAGTAAATAAAAAGTGAACCAAATCTGCAGCACTGGGGTTCTGAATATGGGACTTCAATTTGGCCTGTAACATTAAGAGAACAAACATATTACTATGATGTAACTGACCAAAAGACAGACATCTGAAAATGACCCAGACAAATAGTTCTTTATTACTAGATTCATTTTTAAATACTAATTAGCATGGGTGAGTTAGATTAGGAAAATTTACTTTTAAAAAAGGAGTCATTTTTTAATCAGGTCTCTTAGATGATCATATTTTATAATCTGTTGTTCTAATTAAAGGCAAATAAAAACCCATATAAAAATCTACAAGAATAATTTTATCTCTTAATTTAATTAGGAACATCCTGGCTATACTTTGATCTCTTTTATTTATTTATTTTATCTATACATAAATAAATTTCACTTACTAGAAGGTTAAATCCATGTTTAAACTTTTGAAAACAGTCAATAAATTCATCGGGAGGTGGAGGTTTTGCCCGCAGAGTTAAAACACCCTCTAAAGAAATAAGTAGGAGGAGGAGTACATGAGAGCACATTGTCAAAAAAATTAATAAATAAATAACAACCAAAACATAAAATGAAAAAAAAATTTAAAAGACCACATTTATGTCTGTAAAGTTTGATGATTATACCAGGTATCATGCTATCTAGTTACCTACCACATCTCATAGTCTGACTATAACAAATTAAGATGACCCAACATTTGAAATGGATTCCTCTATCTTTAGGCACCACCAAATCCTCATTTGATTCCACAAATTTTTACTATAGCCTTTCTAAATGGGAGTCATTATGCTTGTCATTGTGAAGACTATAAAAATGTATAAAAATGTATAAAAATGTATAACTGAAGCCCTGCTCTTAAGGGCCTTAAAATGTAATAGAAGGGATGACTGAGATAAATAACAAAGATGTACCAAGTGAGAAAGACACTGCAGCTGGCTGGGAGGCAGAGAAATGTATACCTAAGAGATGTTTCATGGGGAAAGTAGCTTTGAAGATGGGATTTGAAAGTTTTTTTCCAGACAGCATGAGCAAAAACATGGAAAAAAGGAAATTGAATGTACATGAAATAACAAACAATAAAGCAAAGAAACATGAGAATGGAAAAGTAGATCAGGTTAGATTGTGGATAACCTTTGACTACCAGGGTGAGGGAGGGGTGGACTTAAGCAACAGAACATGGAATTAACATGCTTTTTAGCAGAGAATGAGGTGATTACCCTAGTGCTTTAAGACAACTATCCTCATAGAGTAAGACTAGAGATTTGAAAACTGCTTAGTAAAACTTCAAGCTGGGTAAAAACTGATGCCAGCTTGAAGCACATTCTGTTTATGAAAATGAAAAGGGAAAAAACTGGATAAAAGAAACACTGAAAAAATTAAGTTGATGTTGGTTATCAACTATAGAATGGAGTCAAAGAAGAATCTGTGGTGTTGAATCTCAGTGATCAAGAGAATAGTATACCCTTCAAAGGATACAGGAGCACTAAGTGATTTGTGACATCAGGAAATAATAATACTGAATTTCAGAATATACAGGGTGGGGCAGAAGTAGGTTTATAGTTGTCAGTATGGGAAACCGAGATTATTCTTGTATTATTATTTATTAATCACTGTCTTATTTCCATACAACTAACTGTAAACCTACTTTTGTCCCACCCTGTTTAGAGGTGAGGTACATTCAGATATACACATCTGGAAGACAAGTCTACAGTTCATATGCTTATGATGTAGACATAAGCTAGAGAAAGATCTGGAAGTCACAGGAAATGAAAGGGATGTTTATTTGCTATTCTTTTATATATTTCAGTCTATAGCATTTTGTTCCATAATTATAATTTTATATATTTTGGCACCATTTTAAATAGCTGAACTACAGCATACTAAAAAACTATTTGTATGTTATTTGTATGTGACCTGAATATACTATTTGGAGTTTTGTGATAAGTTCAAACCCATTGACATTTGTATCTGTTTTAATGAGAACAGTCAATCCTTTTATTTAACAAAATAATGAGATTCTATATTTATAATAAAATAAATCCTAGTATGGAAGAACAGAGCTATGAGTTTGCTTAACAAGTATTAATTTTATAATCACTACAAACACACAGCCACTACCTGAATTTCAGTCTGTGATTTAAGTAAAGTATCCTAGAGTCTTTACTGTACCAACTTGGAACCAGACTGGACTCTTCCCTGGCTCGTCTTCGTCACTGCCTAAAGCCTGGTGCTCTCCCAGAACGAGAAAAGGGGCCTGGGTTCACTGTCAGTATATGTTGCTGAGCTCTTCACAAGGGCAGAAACAGCCCACCACTGGAATTCTGATTGGACTTCAGAAGATAAAGAATATCCAGCTTACCTCCTGGTCCTTTCCTTTTGCCTTTCTTAGTTTTCTTCCTTTTAGAAAGCTCAGAAAATGCTTCAGCTGCTTTTTGGAGTTTTGTGATAAAAAATTCAATGTCATCCAAAATATGGTTTAAGATTTGCTGAAATTAGAAATTATAGAATTAAATATAAAACAAACCTATTTTTGCCTTGGCTATATACATAGTCAATAAAGAAAAATCGGGAAGTTACAAAGAAACACTTCCTACATGCAAATTTCAAGTTTGTCACTAATTCTAAGGATTGAACTAATATGCTTGTGGCCAAAGTGTGACATTTATATTTTTCTTTAGCTTAATTTTGCTCTATTTTTAATACCATCAAGAAAGCATTCACACTATCTATTCAGAACATTAATTATTTTTCAATTACTCTAATTTTCTCATAGTGTTCTCCCACATAAAGTTAGGGGAAAATAATTCTAAGAAATATTGTTACACATGCACTGAGCATTTTTGTTTTTCTAATAAGTGTCTCAATAAAGCAGCAACAATATTATTTCATGGAATTAAAGGTAAATAAAATGTTGTGATAAAGTAATAAAGACATAGATAATCTACAATTATAGGCATTAAAAAGAGTTTCTACATGGTGAAATAAAATTCATGATGAACTATGCTTTCGGGGCTCATCAGATCAATTTTGATTATCTCATATAGTATAAACGTCAGCTGACTTTCTCTAGTTTTTGTGAAACTTGACATTCTTCTAATTCAGCGGTTCTCAACCTGTGGGTCACGACCCCTTTGGGGGTCGAACAACCCTTTCACAGGGGTCGCCTAAGACCATCGGAAAACATATATAATTACATATTGTGTTTGTGATTAATCACTATGCTTTAATTATGTTCAATTTGTCACAATGAAAATACATCCTGCATATCAGATATTTACATTATGATTCATAACAGTAGCAAAATTACAGTTATGAAGTAGCAACAAAAATAATTTTATGGTTGGGGGTCACCACAACATGAGGAACTGTATTAAAGGGTCGCAGCATTAGGAAGGTTGAGAACCACTGTTCTAATTCAAGACTAGAAACTGGTATTAAATGAATTTTTTAGTACAATAAGTAATAGTGCAGTATAAAAATTAAATTCCAAACATCAAATTCCTCTGTTTCCAAATTGAACATGAGTGCAGTATAAAAAGTAATTATATTGGCATCGTATTTTATGATTATACCACAGGGCATTGTCATTCTGCAAGTAAATTATTATAGAAAAATAAAAATAGCTTTATCTTTATAAGAAATTAAAATTGACATATCTACTCTTAAAATGTCATTTAACTTTTTATCTTTCAGGCATTATAAAGTATTTTCAATAGAGGACAGTAAGAGATATTAAAAATACTTCAATTATGAATTATAAACTATGAAAAACAAACACACCTCAAATCTGATCATTCCATTTAAATTCCCTTGTAAGCTAGTTAATATGGTAATTCTTCTGTCACTAATTAATCATTTTCATAACGTCTTCTAGTTAAATATTGCCAAAAGGAAAAAAAAAGTTAATAAAGAAATAATTCAAAGGGCATAACTACCAGTAGAAAGAGAAAATATAGTTTCCACAAAACATCTTTATTGAATCAACTTCCTCTTTTAAAATAAAGGCAGTGGTCTAAAGATGAATGCTGTCCTTACCACATCTCGGTCAATTCGGGCCGCCGCCATCTCGGGTGTTTCTTCATGCCCATGATACTGCCTGAGCTTCTCAACTACAGAAAGGGGAATCATAACTCTTTCAGCCTGTTGCTTAAGTAATACCAATATAGGCAATTAAACTTTGGCTAGAAAATTGGCTAGATACAAAATCAAAACTCCTCTCGTCATCTATGACAGGCATCCTTGCCACCACTAACAGAAGCACTTGGGCAGAGCTGAAGTACTTGCTTTCTACCTTTATGTTGATTTACCTTGTAATTTCCCTGCTAGTTTCCCTCTTCCCTGTGTCAGCTGCCTATGAATCCAACCCTAACTCAGCATCCTATAATTCCCACCCAAGAAATATAAACCCACAGTTATACACCTACATCGTAAATAGTGGGCAATTAATTCTAATGCAAGAGAGCTTGTAATTTTCATATATTCCAACATTGTGATTTCAATGAGCTTTGGGAGGTTCTGAGAGTAAAGTGTTTCTTAAAATTATTATTTTTACTAAACTTAAAACCCACAATGTTGGGCTCATTAATTTTAAACTATGTGGTTTAAAAGTATAAATACCTATAGAAAATTTCAAATTAAAGGGTAAATTTCTTAGGAGCATTCAAGATGTTCAGTTAACTCATTTGGCTAAAGTATGATGTTAATCATAAGATCATCACCATGAACTCATTCCTGATATGAGTAGGTTAAACCTATCACTGGCACAGATACTTGCACAAATATTTCACAGTATTCGAAATGAAAAAAAAAAGTATGGGTGAAACAGGAAAAATATATCATCACCAATGGAAATACAACTCTTGCTATATCATTGTGACTCATGATGTTTGATATAGAGAACTACAAAAAAATATCGAAAATTTGATATTGCTATGTCTCTTTTAGGCCTAACTTTTACTATAAATGGAATACTCATCAAAAAAATAAAAGAAAGGAAGGAAGGAAGGAAGGAAGGAAGGAAGGAAGGAAGGAAGGAAGGAAGGAAGGGAGGAAGGGAGGAAGGGAGGGAAATCACTTAGTCTTATGAAACATAATTAGTGGCTATTAAATAGTTTAAGATAGTGAGAACTTATATATATAAAATCTTGCCAGTGAACTACTATTTACCTGTGCGTAGCTACTATCTTCCTATGGTTTATACTCCAGAAAGCAGCACATTGTACTTGAAATAAAGCTATAAGGAACTCCAGATAGGTGAGATGGGAGACTGAGGTGAGGGGGAGATGTGGTATTTCTCAGACTTTTTAAGGGTCTGTGCAACCCCACTGCTACTATCTCTATTCTACAGAGATTACTTCTAGCAATCAGGGGTAGAGCTACCTCAGGATTCAAAGGAATTTTTCAAACTGAGTCAACCAGAGCCTTCAGCGGGAACAGAAAGATACTCCTTTTGGGGGTCTTTCCAACTAAAAACTGGCTGGCATTGCTCAGTGGTTAATGTCGACCTATGAACCAGGAGGTCCAGGTTCAATTCCTGGTCAGGGCACATGACTGGATTACAGCTTGATCCCCAGTAGGGGGTGTACAGGAGGCAGCCAATCAATGATTCTCTCTCATCATTAATGCTTCTATCTCTCCCTCTCCTTTCCTCTCTGAAATCAATAAAAATATTTAAAAAACAAAAAACTGGCCTGGATCCAAACAGAAACTCACATAAGTATTGTGTTCTGCTTAACCTAGTAGTAAATTAGTTCTGTAAACCTGATCTTATATATATGAGGTTGCATACAGTAATTTAGACAAAATCTAATGAGCCTAGGAACTCCTGCGGCTCAATTTTCTTTTTGTTGTAAATTAGGTTTTACAGATGTTTTTGCAGGTTTATTCTTCCACGAAAACAATAGCAACAACCAAAATACCATAAATACATAAAAAGTAGAAAACACTATAAACTCCTAA